ATCTGTCGGAATACAAAGTTTTATTCAAAAAACTGATTGCGAAAATATTGATATAATTGATGATAACAGTTATGAAGGCAGCGAAAATTTTACAATTGTTTTGACGTTAAATAACAATCCAAATGTTCAAATAACTGTTGGCGAAGCGACAGTGACTATCATAGATGATGACGGTAATGATTTGAGATATATTTTCTATATAATTTTATCATAGTTACTTACATTTTTACTGTGCAACGCAAGTGCAGATAGCACAGCATCTCTTTATTTGTTCACTATTGGTTTATGAAAATTAAGTCTCGTACATCACCATTCGTCGGCGCTGTTTTTGTGGGTTGTTATTGATGATTAAAATGCTTTGTCTATTTAAAAAAAATATTTTCTTCATTGGTCACTCATAATGGGTCGTAAAACATCGCCGACGAATCACGACATACTGTATACCAGGCCTATAAGTCTTTAATTCTCATTATTTTCGTAATTGTTGCAAAGGATAAACGTTCGAAACACTTGCTTCAGTCAGCAATGTCTCAAAATTTCTCAGGCTCTATGCAAATTTTAGTGTACATTAAAACTTAAAATATTTCCCAACTTTTTCAGCTGCCCCCCCGCCTCCTACTACATTTGGATTCAAAAAATCTACCTATATTGTTGGTGAGGCAGATGGTAAATTGCAAGTTTGTCTTGGTGTTAGCAATTTTGATGGGACTTCCTTTTCAGGAACGTGAGTAAATTTTCTTTATAATAATTTTTAAGCACAACAGGGTAGCGGACGGAATACTTTTTTATTGAATCATCCATGCATTATTGTTAAAAATTTTAAACAATTTATTTCTCTCTTTTTCACTCTCGTACTGTAATTTCAAAGTGAACAGTCCTCTTTCTCAACATCTTTGATCTTTAGATGAAAAATATCAGTTTTGATGACAATAATTAATAAATCGATAAATCTGTACAACCAAGATATGCGGCTAATTTTTTGTGTATCGGTTTAATGTGTTTATCATAATTATTTTAAGATTAACATTCAGAAATGGCACTGCAACAAGCGGAGAAGATTACTCAGATGATGAGAAATCTGTTGGAATACAAAGTTTTATTCAAACAACATATTGCGCTGATATTTTGATAATTGATGATAACATTTATGAAGGCAGCGAAAATTTTACAGTTGTTTTGACGTTAAATAACAATCCCAACGTTCAAATTACTGTTGGCGAAGCGACAGTGACTATCACAGATGATGACGGTAATGATTTGAGATGTATTTTCTATATAATTTATTATAGTTGCTGACATTTTTTTACAGTGCAACGCAAGTGCAGATAGCACAGCATTTCTTTATTTGTCCACTATTGATTTATGAAAATTAGGTCTCGTACATCGCCATTCGTCGGCACTGTTTTTGTCGTTTATTATTGATGCGTAAAATGCTTTGTCTATTTTAAAAAATTTTTTCTTCATTGGTCACTCATAATGGGTCGTAAAAATACATACTGAATGAGAACTAGACCTAAGTCTTTAATTCTGATCATTTTCGTAATGGTTGCAAAGGATAAACGTTGGAAACACTTGCTTCAGTCAGCAATGTCTTAAGATTTTTCAGGCTGCAAACAAGCTCCAAATTTTAAGGTACATCAAAAATTAAATTTAATCTTCTTGAAGAGAAATTATAAGTGAAATATCATTTTTATGTAGCTCTCTTATCTCCCCGATAAAGGCGAAAGCAAGTATGTGATAAATTACATTCTTACCTTTAAAACTTGGATGCAGTTCCTACTACATTTCGATTCGAAAGTTCCACTTACACTGTTGGTGAGGAAGATGGTACCGTGAGGGTTACCTTTTTATTAGCAATTTTTGAGAAAACTTTTTAGGAACGTATTTAGATTTCGCATTAATTGCTCTTGAAAATGAACAAATATTGCAGGCTCCAAATTTTAATCTACATTAAAACTAAAATTTAAACTGTTTGATCAGTGAGAAATTTGCAGCGGTGAAATTTTTCATATTCGCTAATATAAAAACCAATTGCATTTACTGGTGAATATGATACGCGAACATCATGCAAAACTACATGCTAAGTTAAAAATAGTGGGCACTGTGTTGTTTTCGGTTCTTGACGTCAAGAAATAGCCAATTTCAAAGAGGAAATATACCGCATTCTCAACGAGAGACTTGCAGAAAACACCAAAGTTTTACAATAATTCCAATGAAGTCTAATGGCTAAATGATAAGGGATAAGAAAATCAATGTCATTGTCTGGTGATATCACACTTGTGTTAATTACTATGCCTTCATTATCAACTCTCTTTTAATCGTTACTGGGAACAGAAAGTGTGCAAAACCAATTAGTATTTGTGGATAATAGAAAAATATTTCGAACGTTATCCTTTTTTTAAGTTATTATTTCCAGATTTCGAAATGCCTATTATAATAATACTGATGTCAAGGTGAAGCTTGAGTATGACAGAGGTTTCCAATAGTTCCTAAGCTTTAAACACCGCAGGAAACTTCAATAGCATTGTCTAGTCATCGCAATTTTATTACAAATACGGTTTCTATAGCTTTGTTTTGAATAACTAAGAACATATAACGGACAAAAGCGATGTATATGACTGTGAACAATAGGAAATATCTAGAATGTTATCTTTTTTTCTAAATTATTATTTCCAGATTTCGACGAATGTGATGCAGGGAATCACAGTTGCCATCAGAATGCTCACTGTAACAATACTGATGGTTCTTTTAATTGTTCATGCAAAATTGGTTTCATGGGAAATGGAACAGACTGTCGAGGTGAAGCTTGAGTATGACAGATTTCTAACTTGAATTGGAAAGTATAACAAAAATGAAACAGATTTTTAGGGTCATAGTTGGAATATCGCATTACAGAAACCTCATCTGATCTAAAAATTCTAGGACCTGAAAAAATTTATAGTGAATCAAACTGTTTGAATTCTCCATGGTTCAAAAGCAGATTCGCGCAAATAACCCAGTGGACCATAGAACATACACTGTATTTAAATGGATCATTCTTTTATTTTAATTTCCTATATTGTATTTCTCAGCAATTTTGTTTGTCGAAGCAAGGAAAGAGTTCGATAATTTCAGGCAGTTTGAATTTGACATATCGTCCATAAGTTTCTCTTTCAACACATTTAATAAAGCCTAGACCCTAATTATTAAAACTGTTAAAATAAATTCAAAAAACTAAAACTTAAAACCATGGCAAATAAAATATATTTCGCTGATTCTCAGCCTCTTCAGTTTGATTGTATTATGCGATGGTTTGAAGCATTTAAAACAAAACCAAGGCATTGTATTAGTGGACATTGTCAATGTTTTTTAAAAAATTTTTTTTTAAATAACTTTAAATTTCTTCATAGATATCGATGAATGTAATGCAGGGAGTAATAATTGTCATTACAATGCCTACTGTCACAACACGGATGGTTCCTTCATTTGTAGCTGCAAAAATGGCTACTCTGGCAATGAAACAGAATGCCAAGGTTATTGCTTAACTTTGCTACCGTACAATGGCTGTGTAATAACTAAATCAAACTGGTCTTTTGTATTTTTATTGCTTTCTTTTTTATTATTTTGTTCTTCCAGATATCGACGAATGTAATACGGGGATAGACATTTGCCATCAGAATGCTCACTGTAACAATACTGATGGTTCCTTTAATTGTACATGCAAAAAAGGCTACTTAGGAAATGGAACTGACTGTCAAGGTCATTGCCTGAAAATGCAAAATGTTGCGTGTGTATTCTCGTTGCATGTGTATTCTCGTTTCTGATTGGTCGGAACCTTCCAAATAAATCATAATATCCGGTAAATTTAATATTTTCATTGGAGGTGACGTCATACAAAGGGATATTGATTTTTTTATCGAACTTCGGCCCAAAGAAATCAATATCGCTCGGTATGACGTCACAACCGGAAGTACGCAGCACTGCGGGAGCAAAAGCCCGCGAAATTAAGAATTCAGAATTGCAAAAACAAACAATTTTATATTCATAGCGTAGGCTCGCCACATTAAACGCAGGAAAGAATTAAAATGTATAATATAAAGCTTCGGCAGATAAAACTTTAACCTCGGTCTACATAATTCTTGATATCAGCTCAGCCTCATCCAATAATTGTATATGATATAAATAAACAACTGTGCCTAATTAATTATCCGTAAAGGTTTGAATCATGGACTAAACACAGGTATTGTGTTCAAGGCATTTTAAACACGTTCCTTTTTCAAATAAAATTAACATTTCTAGATATCGATGAATGCGTTAGATGGCCTTCGAATTGCCATCCCAACGCCCACTGTAACAATACTGATGGTTCTTTCCATTGCCTATGTAAAAACGGCTACTCAGGAAATGGAACAGACTGCCAAGGTTAGTGCTTAAATTTTACTTTACTACCCTATACAACGCAAAATTTTGAAACAAATAAGAGTTGTATACATTAGGCATTTTTTTTGTGCAGATTATGTAAATTGGATATATTTATGCCATGGTTATACATATTACTACATCAAACTGGTTTGTATTTCACTGCTCTCCTTTCTTATTGTTTTAATCTTCCAGACGTCGATGAATGTAACACAACGAATAATAATTGCCATCACAACGCCTACTGTAACAATACTGATGGTTCTTTCAATTGTACATGTAAAAATGGCTACTTGGGAAATGGAACCGGCTGTCAAGGTTGGCGTAACTTTACCACCCCATACAAAGCAAAATTTTGAAACAAATAGGAGTTGTATACATTAGCATTATTTTTGGGCACATTTTGTAAATTGGATATATTTGTGCCATGGTTATACATATTACTATAGATCAGATCATGAAATCAAATCAAATCACATTTATTTGCGTAGTGTGACCTCGTCAGTGAAATATCACTGGTATTAATGAAGCCCTACATCGGTTTGTATTTTACTGCACTCCCTTTTTATTGTCTTTATCTTCCAGACATCGATGAATGTAACACAAGGTCAAGGAATAATAATTGTCATTACAATGCCTACTGTAACAATACGGATGGTTCTTTCAATTGTACATGCAAAAACGGCTACTCAGGAAATGGAACGGACTGCCAAGGTTATTGCATGTTGCGCAATATATTATGTTATTTAGAAATTTGATATCACAGAACTAAAAATTTCAAAACATAGATTAGGTCATCTACATGCATCCATTATAATTATTGATATTTTTACACACAAAATTTCCGGGCGAAAATTTGGAACTGGTTTGAAGTGTTAACTAAACCAAACCATTGTATGTATCAATGAACAATTGCAGAGCTGCTTTTATATAAGCCTTTTTTGTAATTTGTATACTCCAGATATCGACGAATGTGATGCAGGTTCTCATAATTGCCATCACAACGCCTACTGCAACAATACTAACGGTTCTTACAATTGTGCATGTAATAAGGGCTACGCAGGAAATGGAACAAACTGTCAAGGTCAGTTTTTATAACGATCAACGTAGATACCTAGCCTACATCTGCGGAAAATTAGAGAATAATAATATATCAAGTTGAACTTTTTAAACATTGCAATTTCAGAACAAAGGTTATAAATGAAAGTTTCAGTTTTCACATAATTTTTTCCATTGTTCTTACTTCGCCGCAAATTCATAAATAACTATGTCATTATAGAAACTAATAGCACTAGAATGTTTGGAAATTTTTAATTCGACCTTTCAGATATGGATGAATGTGACGCAAGTTTTCATAATTGTCATTACAACGCCTACTGCCACAATACTGATGGTTATTACAATTGTGCATGTAATAATGGCTACGCAGGAAATGGAACAAGCTGTGAAGGTCAGTTTTGATAACGATCGACGTAGATACCTAGCCTACATCTGTGGAAAATTAGAGAATAATAATTTGAAATATATCAAGTTGAACTTTTTAAACATTGCAATTTCCGAACAAAGGTTGTAATTGAATGTTTCAGTTTTCACATAATTTGTTCCCATGTTCTTACTTCGCATGCAAAATATGCATAAAAATTTACTTTGTGAAAAACTAATAGCAGAATGTTTTGAAATTTTTAATTCGACCTTTCAGACATAGATGAATGTGATGCAGGGACTCATAATTGTCATCACAACGCCTACTGCAACAATACTAACGGTTCTTACAATTGTTCTTGTAAAAATGGCTACTGGGGAAATGGAACAGATTGCCAAGGTCAGTTTTGGCGGCGCAATATTTTCTTTTTTTTGTTTGCCGTAAAAAAAGGGCATTTCAATTTCAGAAACGCTATATCATATAATATAAAACGGCTCAGTACTTTCATATTACTCCACGCAATTCTATCTAAACTACACATGTCTTTCCAAGACCCATCGTACAGTATCTGTTAAGTGACAAAATGGTATTTAGTATGTAGCCTGATTCTTTTACCATGTTCCTTGTACAAATCTGCAAAATGAACATTCCTAAATACACTGACAGAAGAGATGCAGACTATTGAGTTGCAGTATCAGTCTACATTTGAATGAGACCGCCTTTTGAAGGAGTGTTACTAGGTTGTGAAGGAGTGTTACTATAGTGAGTGTTACTATAGAGTGACTATCGCCAGTGATATTCACCAGATATTGACGAATGTACCAAGGGAATTGACGATTGTGACTCCAGTGCCACATGCAGTAACGTTGATGGTTCATTTAATTGCACTTGTAATTCCGGTTACTCAAGCGACGGAGAAAATTGCAAAGGTTAGTACGAATCCTTACTTGCTACACTTAAGGCCGGTTTACACTTGCAATTTTTGCTGCGATTTTCTGTGCGATGTCTTTTTTTGATAGATGTGAACGAGAACTTAGTTACGGATGTTCTGATGTATAAGATCTCTTATTTGAACATTGTTAATATCTATCTAAAGAAGAAAATATCTATATCTTTCATATCTATCTAAAGAAGAAAATCGCACATAAATTCGCAACAAAAATTACAAGTTTAAACCCGGCTTTTAGGTAGCTTTCGAAGCATGGCAAATTTAACACGTGAATTTAAATTTTCACATTGGTGAAATTTCAGTATTTCTTATTATAATATAACTACAGTGCAACCGCAATTTGATTAATCAATAGCCATGCAGGATCAGGCAATTTCAAGAAACACAAAAAAAGATAATCTGAATATTAACATTTTGAAATCCAGAAAACGAATGTGTTTTTAAACAAAACCAGAATGAGTGATAAGCGGTATTTTATTGTTAAACGAGGTTGACTGAGGCTACAAGGAGATCTTAAAAATTATATATAGACAATAATAAAAGCTATGACATGAATCGAAAGGTGCATTCAAAGAAGCATAGAAGAGAGAAGAGTGATTATATCTGCATGTCGTAATGTAATATAAGTTCGAGTTCCTTGCGTCAGAGGAGAAACGTTGGTAAAACCTGTATAGCTATGTAATTAATTGTAAGCGTTTTATATCTTGAAGATTAGTTTTAATATTAAAAAGTCGTAAGTCTGCGGGTTTTATCTTGATAGGTTATTTCCGAAAGTTTGTAAACACCCTGACTAAAGTTTCCGTATATTCAGCCCTAATTTCATTAATTTGGATTTGGTATATTCTTACTTGGACAGATCGCAATTCAATGGATGACGATGGAACAGAATGGCGAGATTTATATAGCGTGTTACTTGTGTTAGGCATAATCATGGGATCTCTCCTTTTGGGTATTGTTCTATTTTATCATCGTCGCTCAGCGAGAAAGAAGCTAGGCATGATCAGCTTCCCTGTTATACAAAAATACGAAGAAAATTCAGCTTTGGAAGATTTGGATTTGGCTGAAATGAAACTAGGAGACAGTAATCGCAAGTCGTTGCATGGAAACTCCGATAACAATGAAATGTTGTGAAAAAAGGCACTTTTTAAGATAATGGCTATGCTTGATTGATCTTAAATATTGGCTAATATTAATTCATTTCTCTGTTATCAACTGCAAATAATCAATAATGACATTGCTAGACACTGTTTAGCAGCGCCAAATGCCTTAATCCTTACCTTGTTCCATATCAGTCTCGATTTTACAGGCAGAATGCACTATAAATTATGATCTATAGCCTAGGGCCTTGAAATTTTTATCTCATCATTAATTTTGAGATTTCAAACAATAATTACTTCATAATATGAATACTACACCAAATTATGTGTTTAGAATCATAATTATACGAGTGCTCGATATACCGAAGTATAGGGCTAATAAGACAAGAATAAAATACAGTAAACTTGGTTTACTTTATATGATTTTGTTCACTGCAAATTTGTTTCGTATAACAAGCAGTGCTTGCCACAGTCATCAAGTGAGTTTAAATTAGTAGACAGTATACAGTAAGTTAATATTGGTAGCCTAGGCCAGAGTAGATCGAGTGATTGCAATAGATAGTTTTGGGGTTTTTTGGTCACTCTGACATAACTACTGTATGCGCAGATGATCTTTTGTGGATATCTGCATAAAAGTATTTAGAGTATTCTAAATAATTCTGATTTTCCGCACTCTTGTTATACTGGGTGTATGCACAGTATTATAAAAAATTCTCCCCTATGGAAATGTCAGTCGTTGTCGATTGTTGAAATTTCAATGCATGACTAATTAATGCACTTATAAAAATATAAATAATGGCAAAGTAATTAGGTTAAGCCATTCAAATTGAGCGTCTAGCTTTAATTTTAAGCGTGAGTTTGGCATAACTTTCTTCACCCGGTACACATATACAGTATTTCACAGAACTGATCGTAACACAATCAGTATGATGCAGTAAAAGAGGCTGGTTACTACACCAGTTCATGTTACAATTATACACAGGGAACATCATAAGCATTACGGTAAGTTTGTTGATACAGTTGTTTACATATCGGCTCCAAGTTAACTTGTTTGAGCTACGATGTCTAACCACGAAGAATAATTATATAAGTCCATGTGAAACAGGATAGTTACGTCTTCAATTAACCGATGTAGAAATAATGTTCACTGTCTGGTAGTTCACTGTCTGGTAGTCTAAAGCCTGGATTTCACAATATCATAGCGTAGCATCAGCTAAACAGACCAAACATTGTCATTGATCTGATTTATAGAGACGGATTATCCGTCCGGACGAATAAACATAAATAAATCTTAGGCGAACTATGTAGACGAGTATCTCAGACGAAACAGAACGAACATGCTTGGCAGGGCCGGAAATCCAAATTCAAAATAATGGAAAAAATGTAATTAGTTAAGCAATCATTTGATATGTAGTAAAAGGAGTGCACAAACGATGGTACGAGCATTTATTTTCGTTTGGTGAACTCCAGCTGAGGGTGGACATACACGCGCTCACTGAAATCATATCAATTCTTCGTTCCCGTAAAAGCTGCAGTATATTGTGCCTGTAAAATCATATATTACCTCTGAGCTCTGTTCATACGTAAACACAAATCAGACCTTAACAAACAGGTTCAGCATTTTAATACTATTTTTCAGTTATAATATTTGTCTGTCGTGTTGTTCTACTTATTATGCATATCTTGTATACCTTAAATAAATTAGCGCTGGGATTTCCTTTTTTGGCACTGGGATTTAAAAATTGCACTTCACTAAACCAATGAGAATTTTGACTTTTTTATATATATTATTAGAACACAAAGTTAATGATAAGTACACGTACTCGGCATAAATTTTGCCCTCTAACAACTCCTGATCCGTTCTATATCCTATGATCATTATTATCTATGTTCATGACTTTCTTCTGAATAAATAGATATAATGATAAACACTGCAATTAAATTTGCGTTAATCTTTTTAGATGTTGTATCAGAGGATACTTTTTCATCTCCTCGTTTGTATTCTGGTATTCTCGCCTTCAAACGAAATAGGTAAGAATACACAATGCAAAACCTAAGAAACATTATAAAATAATAAATCATGGAAAATAATTATCTATGTCCGTTGCACGGATTTTTGAAAAAATGAACTGGTTATGAATACGATTTTCGTATCGTGTACAATATACCCTTCACCATAATTCTGTGTAGGAAGTTTATTTTATACACATGACTCGTAGCAATCACTAGCAAATATTAAAAGGTGCATGGTAGCATATTTTGATTATTTTCACAAAATTAATATAGTTTTTTCTAATTGGATTTATGTAGATCCAACAACATTTGGATTTGAATATTCCAGCTACACCGTTGGCGAAGCAGATGGTTCCTTGAGAGTTTGTCTTCATGTTAAAGATTTTGCGGGGAATCCCTTTGCAGGAAAGTAAGTACATAAACTTCGTAGTCCAAGACAAAACTTTTTTTTCCAAAGACGCATTTTTTTTCCAAAATCGCGTCCATATACCAGCCATTTTGGAAGGAAAGGCGGCGCCAGGAATTTGGAAGCTCATAAAAAAATAGATAAGAGAACAGATGAAGGGATGGGGGGGGGATAGAGAAAAAATAAAGGGGGTATAGTTTATACCTGTTGGAAAGTGGTTATTTTATTGTTATGGAACTTCCCGTTGTTCGATGTAACCGAGAATTGGCTCTAGTGTCTTAAAATTGGGGATTATTATTGAAAATTGTTAGCTTTAATGATTTTAAAATGGCTGAAAAGATCACAATATGGATAAAAAAACAACTTTTATTTTCAGGTATTAATATAGCTAATTTTTATGTTCTGAGATTAACATTCAGAAATGGCACTGCAACAAGTGGAGAAGATTACTCAGATGAGGAAAAATCAGTTTCAATACAAAGTTCTCTTCAACAGTATACCTGCGCTAATATTGACATAATGCAGGATAACAATTACGAAACAAACGAAAATTTTACAATAATTGTGACGTTGAATAACAATCCCAGAGTTCAAATAGCTGTTGGGAAAGCCGCAGTTACTATCACAGATGATGACGGTAATTATCTTTAAAAATATTTCATATTCGCATTCGTTGGGAGAATTAACGTGACACGGGTTGCTTTGTTATGGAACTTTTGAACCAACATGGAAGAAAGTTAAGGCGAGAGAGAGGATACATTATTTTCGCTACTTTTTTGTTAATTATTACTTCCAGATATCGACGAATGTTATGCAGGGACTCACAATTGCCATGAAAATGCCTATTGTAACAATACTGATGGTTCTTTCAATTGTTCATGTAAATATGGTTTCAGAGGAAATGGAACAGATTGTCAAGGTTTGGCTTAAGGTCAGTGTAATTTTAGGAATATTGAAAATTCGTGATTTAGATTTAAAATTTTCGCCGGAGATTTATCGATAAAGGAAAATAAATTTCCCAGATATATTGACCAGCATTCTAACAGTCAAGAATCCTCCATACGTCATTGCCATTGTTTGTCATTACGTCATCCTCCATACGTCATTACGTCATCCTCCATACGTCAATGACGATTCAATATTGCCGAAATTTCACATATTTACGCATTTTACGCATTTCATGTAAAATGTCGGCCATATTGAGTCGCCATTATTACCATAACAACGGCAATAACGTCACACTTAAGGACGATTTCGGACGGTAAGAATTTGGTTCAATATATCTGGGAAATTCCTTTCCTTTGCAATAAATCCCCTGCGAAAATTTTAAATCTAAATCACGAGTTTTCAATATTACTAAAATTTTAGGGAGCTACCTTAAGTAAAGCATAAAAATACAGAAGTCTAATGACTAAATGATAAGGGATAAGAAAATCAATGTCATTGTCTGGTAATATCACACTTGTGTTAGAAAAATAATTACTATGCCTTCGTTATCAACTCTCTTTCAATCGTTACTGGGAACATAAAGTGAGCAAAACCAATTAGTATTTGTGAACAATAGAAAAATATTTAGAACTTTGTCCGTTTTTAATGCAAAGTTTGAGAAAATTTGCAGTATTGTGATGAGTGGCGAAAATTCAAACGAGTCAGTCAGACAGTCAGTCAGTCATAGTGTAAACTTTACGGGGGGTAGGTTGATTTATGCGTATAGTAACTTTTTGTATATGATCAGTAATTTAAAGTTTTTAAATCAGTTTAACTTGCTTTATTTATTAATGCACTATATCCCTTTTGCAAAGTACACCAAAATATTGAGGAATTCTGACGGTTCCTTAAATTTTGAAGCATTGCTTTTCCACGGTTTGGGTTTTGTTTTAAAGGGATTTGCGCGATATTACCCCGCCGGAACACCCGATTTTTCTTATGCGTTGCAACTGCGCATGTGCCGTCGACACTTGAACATTATAACACGCGACCACTGACCAGATCAGTGGGAGCGACGAGTATTGCTTCAAAACATTCCGGGCGTAAAAATCGAGCAATTCTTTGAGAATCTACGCACTTCATCAACTTATGTTATGAAGTACGAGCATTCAATTCAACACAAATATAATTTGGAAGGTTTATTCCATAAATAGAGCTAAGAGGTTAGGAACAAACGACGCTGTGTTGTTTATGTATTGATAGATCCCGTACACGAATGTATATTATGTCGATAGCATGTTATTCTGCATACAGTACATAAATGATACGATACAAAACGGATATTTTGTGCAGTAATCAAATCATTTTGGCGGTATACAGTATTGATTATAAGTACATTGTTTTTTATCGATTTACGCGTCGAAGTATCCACGTAGACATAAAATGCACCGCGGTTTATTTACATTATTTACAACGCAACTATTTTGGCTATTATGAAGTGACGGATAAATTGTTGCCATCATATAAATATAGTGAATGAAGTCACAGTTGTTTGGCGAAGAAAAGAGACTAAACTGAGAAAATCGCGCCCGGTTAGGCCGGTTTACATGGGCAACTAAAATTATAATTTAATACTGACAGCATCTTCGGCTATTAAACGTAACTTGAGTTCTCTGAGTAATTACTTTTTGATTAATGTTTAACCTAGTTCATTATATTTTTACTGGCATAAGTCAAAATGTTTATGTTGGGACAAACGTCTGGTTGCTCAGGTATTACAGGACATGAAAACTTTGCACTATCCTTGGATCCCTAGTTTTATTTATTTTTTCCAGATTTCGACGAATGTGATGCAGGGTGTCATAACTGCCATCACAACGCCTACTGTAATAATACTGATGGCTCTTTCAATTGTACATGCAAAAATGGCTACTCAGGAAATGGTACAGACTGTCAAGGTTAGACTTCAGTATAGTAAAATGCAAAAGTTTGGAAGGTCTTCAGGAATGGGGCCCACACAAAAACGGCGAGACAATTTTTTTCTTTTGATTCCTGTAAGTGGCTATTCACAGAACAAGTGGATGTGTTGTAACAACTTCAGCATACGAAATTCCAAACACCCTGTTTAAATTTCGAAACATTTTCTTTTAAAATGCTGTATTATTGGGCAATCGAGGTGCGAAAGATATTCCGCCGTCCCAGTTGTATTTGTGGCGAAGAGGCACACCCCCCCCCTCTATCGCGTCCTTTGCATCCTACGCTCTTGAAATGCGTCGTTGAGTCATCACAAATTTGGAATTAATTCAATACTCATGATTTGGTTAACACCAGATTTATTGTTATTTGGAACGATTGTATTCGTGAGCCATCACAAATTTTTATCTTTTTTATACCTTTTGTAAATTGTTATTTCCAGATCTGGACGAATGTGGTGCAGGGAATCACAGTTGCCATCAAAATGCTCCATGTAACAATACTGCATGATGGTTCTTTTGTTTGTTCATGCAAAAATGGCTACTCACGATCAGGAAATGGAACAGACTGTCAAGGTTAGACTTCAGTATGGTACAATGCAGGGGCCGGTTGGTCGAAAGGCGTTTAGCTTAAACGCTGGATAAGCCAAAGTTTAATAAAAAAATTTAATAGATCTTGTGAATGACTGAAACTACACCTTATGCATTTAATATGTACTTCCATTGACAATTAAACTATTTACATCGAAATATTTCAGCTCAGTTGTTCAATAAATAGATAATTTTGTTTTCCATTTTGAACTTATCCACCGTTTAAGCTAAACGCCTTTCGAACAACCGGCCACAGAAGTTTAATTTCCCATAGTTCTACAGCTTTAACCTTCGCAGGAAACATCAACGGCATTGTCTAGTCATCGCACACTTGTTAGAAATAAGATCCCTAGCTTTTAATTATTACTAGGCAAACAAAGTGAAGAGAAGCTATTTATTTATGAACAGTAGAAATATATCTCAAATTTTTTTACCTGAATTATATTAATTTCCAGATTTAAACGAATGTGTTGCAGGGAATCACAGTTGCCATCAGAATGCTCTCTGTAACAATACTGATGGTTCTTTTAATTGTTCATGCAAAATTGGTTTCATTGGGAGTGGAACAGACTGTGAAGGTTAGGCTTGAGTATAGCAGAGGTTTTCCATAGTTCCGCAGCTTTAAACATCGCAGAAAACTTCAATAGCATTGTCTAGTCATTGATTTTTTTTACAAATTAAATATGATTGGTTTCTAATGCTTTATTATGAATACTGAAGTAGAAACATATAATGAACGAAGGCGATGTATATGTGAACAATAGAAAATATCTGAAATTTTATCTTTTTTCCTAAATTATTATTTCCAGATTTCGACGAATGTGATGCAGGGAATCACAGTTGCCATCAGAATGCTCACTGTAACAATACTGGTGGTTCCTTCAATTGGTCATGCAAAATTGGTTTCATGGGAAATGGAGCAGACTGTCAAGGTGAAGCTTGAGTATCGCAGATATATATCGTTGCCTAACTTGCATTGTAGCTTCACAGCTTTAAACTTCGCAGGAAACATATATGTCATTGTCTAGTCATTAGGCTTTGTTAGAAATATAATCACCATGATCGCCATGCATTCGTTATCAAAAGACTTTTAGTTTTTACAAGGACATAAAGTAGACAAAACGAATGTGTTTGTAAACAGTAGAAAAATATAAAAAATGATATCGTTTTTCACACAATATTATTTTCAGATTTAAACGAATGTGATGCGGGGACTCACAACTGCCACCGGAATGCTCACTGTAACAATATTGATGGTTCTTTTAATTGTTCATGCAAAATTGGTTTCAGGGGAAATGGAACAGATTGTCAAGGTTAGGTCCTGACTGAAATCTTTCTCATGCTCTTTTATCGAAGGATTTTTAATGTTAAGAATATACTTTTTTGTTAAATTTTCTTTCAAGATTTCGATGAATGTAATGCAGGTTCTCGCAATTGCGATCGTAACGTCCTCTGTAACAATACTGATGGTTCTTTCAATTGTAGATGCAAAAATGGTTTCAGGGGAAATGGGACAAGCTGTCAAGGTTAGGCTTGAATATAGTATAATACAATAGTCTAACTTTCTAGCAATTTCTCAAAACTTCAGGAGCTGTATTAACGTTTACAGGAAATATGATTACCGGGTCTTGGTTATGACCACTTTTGTAACAAATCTTGGTAACAGTGAAGAATAGCGGAATGATTGAAATAACATTTTTCTATTGTGAGAAATATTGTACAGACATAACAGATTGTATTTGGTAGATTCGTTCTCACGCGTCTTTGGGGTAAATGCAGTGTCTTTGGAAGAATTTCATTTTGACCAATTAGCAAGTTTGTTTACATTTTCAGTAACCCAATCAGAATGTATAAATTTTCAGAACTTTCGGTAAAAAGGTAAATTGTTTACCACTTTACACGACGTTTTAAAAATTAAAACATTCTGATTGGCTTTGTCTAAAAAATGCAAACAAATATTATGCCGATTAGTTTAAAGCGAATTAAAAGAAAATTTCGTCGGTACTTTATATTAATCAGCATAAACTTTATTCAGACCAGTATTTTTTAAGAAAAGTGTCTATTTGAGAAAAAAATTAGGATTTTAAAAAACACGGAATCCTATACTTGTGGATTTCAGATTCAAAGCTCAATTTTTCTAGATCCTTTTTCGACATTTTTTCTTAAATTTTATCAGAGTCTTAAAGACAACGAATGTAGCGTTAGAACCCGAGATTGCGATTTCGATACTTTCTGCAGTAATACTAAAAATAGTTTCCATTGTGCTTTTGAAAATACGTTTTAATTGTAATTTCAACTCGTTTTTTTAGACTATTCGAAAAGCAAAGAATATTTATATCATATTTTAAATCACAGAAGTATTATAAATTTCACAGGCATTATAAAGCTGTTTGCAATAGTGTTTGCCCTTTTTGAATCCAACCCGGCTTGTAAGGCGGAGCAAACGCGTAACAATAATATTTGAAAATGAATAATTTTCTATAGATTTTTTTAAACAATTGACAACCTCCTGTGGCCTATCTACATAATATAATAACTTAAAGAATTCAAAATATCATCTTGTGACAACTTTGTCTCTTCAGCTGAATGCAATAATTGAATATACCAAGCTGTATCGTGGAGAAATGGTCATGCGGTAAAAGTTATTTAAAAGTATCTATGCTTCAGCAAGGTGAATATTATGATTATCAAGGTAAGTTCTTAATATATATCTGCTGTATATTTTATGGTGGTATAAAGAGAATACAGTCTAGTTTAATTATACCAGGAAACCGCTATCAACCTTTCGTATTTGATCTGTATTGTGGGGAAAATAAGACTCCATTAACCGTGTTTAAATTACTGTAGTCACAACACGTGTTAGTCGATACGAAAGACGGTTGTTAACTCTTGAAGGCAAGTCTGATGATTTCGTTGTGGTGTTTCTTTCGTCTCGACGATAAGCGTCAACGTAAACAAATGTGATAAATTTTCGACCAGTTTAATAAAAGATTTAAAGTAAATCAAAGTCTCATCTAAACATGAATTCTTCCGTCAAATATTGTAGTCTATTGGTCAAGTATTGTACTCTATTGTACGCTGTCTGTAATTTTCCTAATTGATCAGTGATCTCATATGCCATAACAAACTATATTTTCGAAGGAGTTACAATGAACTCTACATAATCATAAAGACAAATTTTCATTTGGTTGTTATGGCTACCTTCCGGAAACACTATATATGGGTAATTAAGTTGCATATCGCGGTTAGCCGAGATTAAACCAAGCTTGAGATGACTTTGGGTAATGAAATGAGCAAATAACATGATTCTGGCAGTAATGTAGTCATCCTATACAATAGCATGTACTTGTATGGTTTCCTAAAGACTTGTTTTGATACCTCAAAGTCGTCTCATTCTTCGTTAAATGACGGCTAACTTCTTAGATCCACTGAATTATTTTCCGACAGACAAAGCATTTTTCGCACCAGTAACATGAGATAAAGGAGACCCAGGTGCTTAGGACAAGTAGGAACCTGGCTTGATAGATAGATTATAATAGTTTACATTCCCAAAATTAAATAATATGAAGTAGCTAGAAAATTGGAGCTAAAATGGCGGAAATTAGAGGAGTAGTTATGAAAGGTCATTCGCAGCGAAATATTTTTCATAATTTAAACGGAAATTATGATTTTTCAAATTTTGGATTCTTTAAAAAATAAAAAAAGGAACTAAAGCTTTTTTTGGTAATTTATTTCTCCGTATCTACCTGATGTGGCACTATATATTTTTTCACCACATTTTCAGTGAATATGAATTTTTCCCTTAGCTTTTAAGTAAATTTTCAGCCTTGTTACCCAGGCGCTTTAATAGTAAAAAGTAAAAAGTTTATTTATGAATCGAAGTGTGGTTTTTCGAAATATCAAATATTATTTAAGATTTCAAAAGAAACACCAAAGAACGTTTAAACCAGGACAATTAAGCGAGGAAGCAGAAAAAAGCCAGCGCGGAAAATGTAAATGCCATTGTCGTTGTTTGTGTAAAAGGGGACGGAGTATAGATGTCTAACTCTGTCTTGTATAGATATCGTCGGATAATGTGTTTGCATTGTTTGCATGCATGGCGGTAAAATAAGCCAATACAAAATTTACGTTACAAATTTGTGAAAAGGTATTTACTAAATCAGTGCAAATATCCCGAACACAGTACAAATTTGTATGAAAAAACGCACTTCGGAGAATGTATAAGAGATGATTCTCAGCATTTAGCTATACAGTCAGGGTGTACGATGAGCACTTTTAATGATAAAAACAGCTGTACAATTTTTTAAAAACTGGGCAAGTGCTGTACATGTTATTGAGAGTTTATTATGTCAACAAAGCATATTAATAACCGATTCATGCGTCAACTTTATCTTGCATGACCCTTAATGTTTATAAGCAAAATTTTTTTGGCATGTAGAAATTTTGGCCATAATTCATGTCATAAAGTAATCAGCAAAACAATGGCAGTCTAAATGGTTCATACTTTTATGGCTCCTCGTGTATGCTCGCGAACCCCAAAATTAGTTGTTTGCAAACAATGTTTGGCCTTTTTGAATCCAACCTGTAAGGCGGAGCAAACGCATAACAATAATATTGGAAAATGAATAATTTTCTATAGATTTTTTTAAAGAATTGACAACCTCCTGTGGCCTATCTGTGTATAATAACTTAAAGTAGTCAAAATATTATCTAATGACAATTTTGTCTCTTCAGCTGAATGCAATAATTGAATATACCAAGCTGTATCGTGGAGGAATGTTCATGCGATAAAAGTTATTTAAAAGTATCTATGCTTCAGCAAGGTGAATATTATAATTATCAAGGTAAGTTCTTAATATATATCTGTTGTATTTTTATGGTGGTATAAGAGAATACAGTCTAGTTTAATTATTACCAGGAAACCGCTATCAACCTTCCGCATATGTGGGGAAAACAAGACTCCATTAACCGTGTTTAAATTATTGTAGTCAATACGTGTTAGTCGATACGAAAGAGCGTTGTTAACTCTTGAAAGCAAGTCTGATGATTTCGTTGTGGTGTTTCTTTCGTCTCGACGATAAGTGTCGACGTGAACAAACGTGATAAATTTTCAACCACTTTAATAAGAGATTTAAAGTAAATCAAAGTCTCATCTAAACATGAATTCTCCCGTCAAATATTGTAGTCTATTGGTCAAGTATTGTACTCTATTGTACGCTGTCTGTAATTTTCCTAATTGATGAGTGATCTCATATGCCATAACAAACTATATTTTCGAAGGAGTTACAATGAACTCTACATAATCATAAAGACAAATTTTCATTTGGTTGTTATAGATACCTTCCGAAAACACGATATGTGGGTAATTAAGTTCCATATATCGCGGTTAAACCAAGCTTGAGATGACTTTGGGTAATGAAATGAGCAAATAACATGATTCTGGCAGTAATATAGTCATCCTGACAATAGCATGTGCTTGTATGGTTTCCTAAAGACTTGTTTTAATACCTCAAAATCGTCTCACTCTTCGTTAAAATGACGGCTAGCTCGTTAGATCCATTGAATTATTTTCCGACAAACAAAGCATTTTTCGCACCAGTACCAGTGACATGAGATAAAGGAGACCCAGGTGCTTAGGACAAGTAGGAACCTGGCTTGATACATAGATTATAATAGTTTACATTCCCAAAATTAAATAATATGAATTAAGTAGCTAGAAACTTGGAGCTAAAAAATGGCGGAAATTAGGGGAGTAGTTATGAAAGGTCATTCGCAGCGAAATGTTTTTCATAATTTAAACGGAAGTTATGATTCTTCAAATTTTGGATTCTTTAAAAAATAAGAAAAGGAAATAAAGCTTTTTCTGGTAATTTGTTTCTCCGTATTTACCTGATGTGGCACTATATATTTTTTCACCACATTTTCAGTTAATATGAATTTTTCCCTTAGCTTTAAAGTAAATTTTCAGCCTCGTACCCAGGCGCTTTAATAGTAAAAAGTAAAAGTTTATTTATGAATCGAAGTGTGGTTTTTCGAAATATTAAAACATTATTTAAGATTTCAAAAGAAACACCAAAGAACGTTAAAACCAGGACAATAAAGCGAAGAAGCAGAAAAGAGCCAGCGCGGAAAATGTAAATGCCATTGTCGTTGTTTGTGTAAAAGGCGACGGAGTAGATGTCTAACTCTGTCTGGTATAGATATCGTCGGATAATGTGAATACATCATATATTATTTATATATTTATAAATAAACAGTATTCGAGTGTATCAGTAATTCTTTTTCCCAAGTAGATTTGCCTAGCATTGAAAAT